TCATTTTAAAATATATAAATTATTATTTAAAATTTAAAATTTATAATAAATAATTTAAATTATATCATAATATAATTTTTTAATAAAAATAAGTAGATTGTTAATTATAAAAGTAAGTGTATATATATAAATAAAGATTAATTAAATATAATATAATTACTATTATTGGTAATATAATTATTATATATATTATTATATTTTTATAACGGTTCAGACACACCCGAATGAGAGGGATCCAAAAATAGTATAAGTATGAGATTGTATAGTTGATGATGACTTAAATGAATTAATTTATATTACTTATACTAACAACATGCATCTGTTTTTCGGTAGCTTATCTCGTGTTTGACTTGGAGTAATATAGGGATGAGTGACCTTCTGAAAAATTTCTCCGAAATTGTGCAAGTAAGGACAAAACACATTAAAAAATGAAGTGTCGTGAAATAGAATCCTTAAGATGCCAAATATGAGGACTGTTACATTAATAAATTTATTAAAATTAAAAAAAAAATTTTGACGGATTTTTTTTTCGACACCCCTTTTTCTGATGGATTTGCATCCGTCAAAAATTCGTCGAAAATAGAGAATTTTCAACGGATGTTGTTTTTCATTAAGGAATTATGTCCGTAAAAAATTTATATTTTTCTTATAGTAGATATATAAAAGATCCTATATTTAAATATGGAATATATGTGAACAGGAAATATATATTTTTATTTAAAAAGGATAAAAGAAGTGCCCCGCTTAAACATCCCAAGGAATTATCTATCTTGATCTGTTCATGTCTAAATACGCCTAACTACAAAGTTGTTATAAGATCTTCATTGTATTTGTTAGTATTATGACGATGACAACTTACAGAAATATTGTTTTTTTAAATTTAGTTATTTTTAATCGATGGAATCTTAAAAATATTACAAACACACCTACTATTTAATATATTTTCTAACTTAATTAAATTAGAAGTGTTAAATTTATTTATTTTAATAAATTTAAAACTAAATTGTTATATTTGCTATATTTTTAATTTAAAAAAAATATTATTTTATACTATATAATCAATTAAATAAAATATTTTATATGAATAAGTTAATGATTTTAAAATTTTCTAAATGTTAATAAAAGTCCTCCCTACAAAATACATTAGCATTTTGTATTATGACGAGAACATGCCCTTATTACAAAACTGTTTTCTATAATTTTTACTTAAATTAAAAAAAAATACATAATAATATTATTACGTACAAGATATTTTCTAGTTGAATATTAAAGATTAAGTGCGTGTTTGGTTTAGATTATTAAACTCAAATTTTTCTTCTCTTTACACGTCCGATTCTAAATTTACAGAAAAGTAACTATTTTCTACTTCAACCTAAACGTGAAAAATCACGTCTCACAGCTGATACAAACACGCTATAATTAAGTATGAATCCAGATGTTTTATGGTCTTGTATGTTCAACAAAAGTCATGGTGCGTGCAGTTGAGATTGCATGACAGGGACCTTGAAAGAATATTCCTTACCTTTCCGTCAAAGACGGCACAACAAATCACACAGTGGACAGTTCACAAACTTTCAGTTCCGAATGTGTGGCTTCCATCTTCCCTTTCTTCCATAAAGTTAATAGAAAACAAAAAAATGTTAAAAAATTAAATGTAAGACCCAATTTTTGCTACTTCAATGGAGTGAAATTCTCGCGTGAATATTGTCAGTTGACGGCTACGCTTAAAAAACTAATAACAAAACCAACTTGGCTTCCGTATATTCTACAATTTCAACAAAACAATAAGCATAACATTTGAATTAACAAAATTTAGATACACTACTATAGATTATAGGTTTTTGTATTGTTCTCTGATTAAAATTTGAGATTCACCTTGGTAATATATACAAGTATATTTTATTAATATCTGTATTATATATATATAAATGTATATTACGTACTGAAGTGAAACATTAATTTTGATGAAAGAACAATATCAGTAACATCTATGATAATGTACCTAACTTTTATCTTTAATTTGTTAATCTAATTTATGGTATTCCAATATGTCATTTTATAATTATTGAATGAAAAGCCGACATCATACACGCACTCCCCATGTTGGAATATTCAAAGTACACTTTTCCAGCTGTGCGCTATGTTATAATGATATCAACCTGACCAACTTGGATGGTTATAAAATCACCATGCCTTGGAATACGAATTGTTTTCTGATAGATAGTTGTATATATAACTTTCTATGCACCTACAAAGAGAATAATGCAAAACCACTTGCTAATTTGCATGTTCTGTGCATGCAAATTCATTCTTGATGACAGATTTTACGGTCGGGTATATATTGGGAAGGCAAAAATGTATTTGTCACCATATATTTTGTCGCACCGTTTTTTCTATTTACACTAATATCCCTGCATGCATCTCTTTTAAAGTAAAAAAGTAATAATCTCTCTCTTTTCTTTTCTTTTTTGTACCATAAAAGAGTTGGTGTATGACAAGTATAAAAAAATCATGTAAAAGAGTACAAGTGCTCTTTGGAAAGGTATATTCCTGCGCACTTCTTCGAAGATAGAGTATTCAAAAAGCTAAAATTATTAATAATTTTTAAACCTAGGATTCCAGCGTGCATACAGGGCCCACCCTAATCCCTATAAAAAGCCCCCATGAGATTCTTTCTACAGAACTCAACACCTAGCTAGATTCTTTCTTCGTAGTTAAAGTCTAGGCACTCCTCATTCCTTCCCTAGAAAATCCTTGGTTCTTGTTTGCTACTTCAACAACCTAACTAATCTCCTTTCTTTTCAAAACTAAACTTGTCACCAAATATACATGGCACAAAACAAATTCATTGGCTCCATGATTTTCCTTGCACTGATCATTTTCGACCAGGGATTTCACTCCACTGAGGGACGATACGTAAAGCATAACGAAAGCAACCAACACCTCGTGAAGTGTAAGAACCATGATGAAGTGCATTGTGGCATTTCAGCTACAAATGTGTATCCACTAACGCCATCAACATCAATGGTTGATGCAACTGGGGCGGCGCCGCCTCCAGCTCACGGTGTGGATGATTTTAGACCCACGACACCGGGACACAGCCCTGGTGTAGGACACTCCGTTCACAATTAGTGCATGAGTTTCAACGTGCATGCATGGTGTCGTTACTACATATTCGTGCATTCTTTCATTATTCGTTTCGTTGTTTGTGTTTTGGTAGAAAGAAAGAAGTGGGAGAACAAAAATGAGTGGTGCCTGATAATACTAGTTGTGTACTTTTATATAGTGTGCTCAGATTTGAATCAGATTGAAGTTGTGTTGCTAGGGAAGGTTCTACTTTTGATTTGTTTGAGGTTTGAAAATATTTGCAGTTATTTGGTTGTTCTAATATGTTTGTAAGTTATAAAGTTAGATTACCCTTATTGCTCTATTAAGTAAACTAGCTAGTTATCAACCTGAGTGATGCGTTCTATGTTTTTGTGGATAATAATAGTTGGCTAATTTAGAATTTATATTTATGGGAACAGATGACACGATTAAAAGATAATAAGAAAAAGTATATAAAATATATATTTGTTTAGAAGAAAATGTTGTGATGAATTAACAAATACGTCATAAAAAGATATCACAATATTTTTTAATAAAAAATATATGAATGAAATGGTGTACATAGCATTGTATAAAAAAAACATGTAAACAACAATGAATAATATTAGTAAGAAATCATATAAAAAAAATCAGAATAAAATATGCTTTTATTCCCTAAAAAAATTCTCATGTTGGACTTCAATCTCTAAAAATGTTTTTATCTTATTTTAATTATTATAATTTATAAATGCATTACTTTTTGTCTTTAAAGTAGGTTGATAATTGTAAAATATATATCACTATCTTTATTCAACTTAGATAATTATTTAACAAATGTTATGTTTTAGAGTCTTATTTTTTTCTTATTTATTAAAAATTAGGTAAGAATGAACTAATATCAAAGAAATTGAATACTGTGAACACTCACTCAGAGTGAGAGAGAAGCACACTATGAGCGACTTCATGTTCATCAAAGCGAGTCATTTGGATGTTCTAAGTGAGCTAACTCATAAGAAACCCTTAGAATACTATGAAGAATTCACTCAAACAAACTATCTAAGGGCTCTAAACAAGCAAATACAACAATGTCAATGTTGACAAATCATTAAACTTGCTTAAGCAAGCCAATAGGTCACTCATAGCGAGTATGCATCACAAGTTCAATTGTAGATAGACCATTTAAAATCTTATAAAAGTAGGATTCAGAGATAATAGAAAAACATTCCACAAGATTCAGAGATAATAGAAAAACACTTTACATACTATATATTTTAGATAGTTTGAGAGAATAAAGAGAGTCGTTGTTGAAGATTGACATAACTAACTCTACTCCATGCAACTCTTCATGTTTTTATTCATTTAATTATTTTCTTATATTCTTAATGCTTGTTTTGCTTTGATCATCCAATGCACAATTTTCATATATTTAATTGAGGTTTAGAAACCCTTTTGAAATTATGATTTGGAGATTAATACTTATTCCTGGGAATAAGATAAGTCTTATCGGTCAACATCTTAGGCCTTCAACATTAATGCAGGTTGCTTAATAAAATTCCAAGAAAAAATTAGATTTTCCTTAAGTAACAGAATTTTTCATCTAAAAAATTAGGATTAAAATATTTTCATTGATTGTTGAATTAACTTGATAATTACTTAAATTGAATAATAATTTGGAAGGGTATGCGTGAAAAATCTAGCGATATTAATCATTGACGTTTTTTATTGTAAATTTTTAATTATCTTTTCAATTTCTTTATTATTCAAAATCCTTAAAAATATATATTTTTTAATCTTTAGTGCATTCTTCAAACAAAATATCTATCATTTTCTTTTTCTTATTAAGAATTAAGTTAGATTAATTAATTATAGCATAAGTTCATATGAATTTGAAACTTGGACTTCTACTCATTTTACTAGTGACCATAATTAATATATGTGTTAAATGTCTAATATAGGTTAAATTGCACTTTTATTTATTTAAATGTTATTTAAATTAATGACTTTCATTATTTTGCTTTCTAAATATCAAAATAATTTTGAATTTTACTTAAATTGTACTAGAAAAGATCAATTGCAATGCTGACTCAAAAATTCATTCAAGACAATCACGAAGTGGTGGTATAGTGGCAAAAATTATATAAAAAAAATTAATTATTAACGATAATTATTTAATGATAATAAACTAATTACTTCTATTTTATTATTTAATAAAAATATTAATTAATATATAATAGCCGCTAAAAATATATTTACATTACATCAAAATTTACCATTAGCGATAATTATTTATTAGAAAAAATTCAAGTCTCACATCGACTATATAAGTAGAGAACAACTCTCACCTTACAAGTCCCATATCTTTTAGGAGATAAGAAATTTAAAGAGTACATAAGTTAGAAATCTTTTCTTAAAGAAAAACTCGAATTCCAATTCACATCGACTAAAAGTAAGAAAGTTAAAAAATATATAAGTAGAAAATAACTTTTATATCTTACAAGTTTCATATTGACTAGAGATAAGGTAATTAAATAGGCTAAAACCCTATTTTGGTCCCTTATATTAATTGTTTGTTTCAATTTAGTCCCACATTTATTTTTGGTTTCAATTTGGTCCTAAACTAATTAATTGGTTTCAATTTAGTCCCAAATTAATTAATTGGTTTCAATGTGGGGACTTCCGTCCAAATTATTTAAACGGATTTAACTTTTGACCACGTGGATGCCACGTAGATGCATACGTGAATGTCACGTGGATGACAATTTTTGGCTAAAACCTATTTTGGTCCCTTATAATAATTGTTTGTTTCAATTTAGTCCCAATTTTATTTTTGGTTTCAATTTGGTCCTAAATTAATTAATTGGTTTCAATTTGGTCCCAAATATATTAATTGGTTTCAATTTGAGACTTTCGTCTAAATTATTTAAACGGAGTTAACTTTTGGCCACGTGGATGCAGTTTTGACCCCTCAAGTATTACAATTGTGCAGTTTTGATCCCCAAGATTTTAATTGGGTAATTTTAGTCCTTAAAGAATTGCAATTGCGCGATTTTGGTCCTTCAATTTTTAATTGAATAATTTTAGTCCCTCGAATATCATAATAGTACGATTATAGTTTCTCCCATTAAAAATTAATAATTTTAATATATGTATATATATATAATGTTTTAAAATTAAACAATTATTTATCTATTCAAATTAACGTATATTATAATTTTCGATATTATATCAATAATATTATTAATATATTTATAGATAAACTAATAATTTGATAAATATAACTTGTTATATATTAATATACTTTTACAAAAATATAAGTATATTAATTAGAAATATATATCTGATCTTATATATTTATATTTTTGTAAAAGTATATTAATATATATTAAGTTATATTTATCAAATTATTAGTTTATTTATAAATACAAAAATATAAATATATAAGATCAGATATATATTTCTAATTAATATACTTATATTTTTGTAAAAGTATATTAATATATAACAAGTTATATTTATCAAATTATTAGTTTATCTATAAATATATTAATAATATTATTGATATAATATCGAAAATTATAATATACGTTAATTTGAATAGATAAATAATTGTTTAATTTTAAAACATTATATATATGTATATATTAAAATTATTAATTTTTAATGGGAGAAACTAAAATCGTACTATTATGATATTTGAGGGACTAAAATTGTTCAATTAAAAATTGAAGGACCAAAATCGCGCAATTATAATTCTTTAAGGACTAAAATTACCCAATTAAAATCTTGGGGATCAAAACTGCACAATTGTAATACTTGAGAGATCAAAACTGCATCCACGTGGCCAAAAGTTAACTCCGTTTAAATAATTTGGACGGAAGTCCCAAATTGATACCAATTAATATATTTGGGACCAAATTGAAACCAATTAATTAATTTGGGACCAATATGAAACCAAAAATAAAATTGGGACTAAATTGAAACAAACAATTATTATAAGGGACCAAAATAGGTTTTTAGCCAAAAATTGTCATCCACGTGGCATCTACGTATGCATACATACATACATATATATATATGTGTGTGTATGTACACACAAATCAAGAGAACAATAAAAGTCCACGATCAATAGCATATGAATTATGAATTTTCTACCTCTCTCTATTCTTGCACGAATGAAATTATTACTAAACTCATTTATTTTTTTAACTTAAACTAAATTACCATGAACTGAAATCTCAACAGAGTATCAAAAAGTTATAACTACAAAAAATAATAGGGTTGATGGAGAAGGATATCATTTTAAAGAGTTTATGCTGTTTTAAATGGTGATCGACTTTTGGTTTCCATCGCATAGAATTATGACTATAATTTCACTGGTTTGACTAATATGATAATTTAGTAAATTGGAGACCAATGAAAACACACACACACACACACATATATATATATATA